TAAAATGTGAAAGCAACAAATGTGGAGGGCTAACTGTACTGGGACTTGAGCATCCATGGATTTTGGTATCCACGGGAGATCCAGAAACAAATCCATGGAAATGGAGACTCGCTGATATTCAAGCCCCATAGACTTGAATGGGGCGTGTGCCTGCCGGCACATGCCCCATTAATATTAAAGGAGGTCGCCCCTCCATGAATATTTAAGTCTGCAGATCTCAAGGCCATGAGAACAGAGAGGCAACTGTACATACAATTTTGTTCATCACCCATCACCTCACCAGGGTTCCCAAGGCATTTATAAGGCATTGAAAAAAGAGATAGTATGGTGTAGTAGCTTGGCAGCTGGATTAGGACTCTAGCAGACCAGGGTTCAAAGCTTTGCTGAGCCGTGAAAACCTACTGAGTGAGTGTGGGCAAGTCACACTCTCTGAGCCTAAGATGAAGGCAACGGCAAACCACCTCTGCATATATCTTCCCACGAAAACTCTGTGAGAGAATCACCATGAGTCAGAAATGACCCAAAGGCACACAATTTAAAAAGAAAAATGGATGGGGCAGAGTATAGAGCACCTCAAAAACACAATTACAGATTTTTCTTATGCAGCTATTTTACATATTCAGCTACTGATTTCCCAATCTACAGCAATCAAGTGATGTATATAAATGTCTCAACCAGGGGCCGGGTTGCTGTCCCTCAGACAATTGGGGGGGGGGGGGGGGGGCGAAGCACCAAAAATAAATAAATAAATAAATAAATAAATAAATATTTTTTAAAAAATAAAAAAAATAAAAAAAATATGCATGCACACTCTCTCAGCCCCAGAAAAGCCATGGCAAAAACGCTCTGGAGATTTTGCCAAGATAACCCCAAGAACAAGTAATAACAACAATAATCAATATCATCATGGTGGGCGGCGGTGGTGGCGGGTGGCAGGTGGCAGCAGCAGGACCAGCCTGGGGCCGGTCCAAAGTCCTTGGGGGGCCGCATCTGGCCCCTGAGCCTTAGGTTGTCTACCCCTGGTCTAAACAAACACCCCAACTGATAAGTAACCATGTAAGATATTCAAAGCCCAGCTAAGCGTCAAATAGGTGTCCACTCAAAGTGAAAGATACTACTACCCGTATTTTTCGCCATATAAGACGCTACGGCATATAAGACGCACCCAATTTTAAAGGAGGAAAATCTAGGAAAAAAAGATTCTTAACCAAATACAGTGGTACCTCTACTAACGAAATTAATCAGTTCCGCGGGTGGAAGGAGGCCTCCCTTTAGCCATGTCCTTGGTGCTTCAATGGGCTTCTCCTGGGATCGGAGGACGTCCTCC